CCAGTGCTTAGTTGGACGTTTCGTTATGCAATCCATGTCTCGGCGAAAACCAGTTAAGCTTCAGTGATAGAATAAGATTTGGAGCAGTTAACCCCCACTTGGAACGTTCAGTCAGGAGAACGGCTTATGTTACTGTAGCGACGCAACATAGTTGCATAAATTCAGCGTTATTAGTCAGGTTGTCTAGCAACTGTTCTTTCAGCCCTATTCGAGAGTTTATGGCCCGGAAGAAGTGTTTTGATCCTGTCACATCGAAAGACATCTCAGGTGTCAAAATAATCGACCTGAAACTCAGGTATTTCTTCCAACAAGCCGAAAGTAAAATGAGGTTTCTGGACAACCATATTTCAGATTGGGTCAGCCGTATGTTTTCCAACATTCCGGAACTTGTGAGCATCTGTTGATATTCCATGATCTGCGATTGCTCGAGAAAAGTGATGTTCAAGTGAGTCGTTTTGAATTTCTTTGAGATTCTGCTGGGCAGTTTTACCCATAGTGGGTCTGTTTGAGTACTGGATAATGACCGAAATACAAATTTTCCTCTTTCGTATCTGGTCTATATCTTTATTTCATGGACAATTCCTTTCCATTTCATAATTTCTTTTCCTCCCATCTCAGCGGTTCTAGCTTACTTGCCGAACTCAACTTCAGACTAGAACGACAGCGGGCCATAATTTTGCGAAGACCGTGAAAAGTCGCGGATTTGTGAAATAACTTTTTGACTTTCGTTACACCTTTTATCCAACGCATGTATGTTGTTAAAATGAGGGATGCCTCCTTCGAAAACAATAACCCTCAAGGGAAACCATGAGGATGGAGCAGGAGTATGGTCAAGAAGCCAAAACCCTACATTTTTATTATCTTTTTGACCGCAATTGTATATGGTATATTTTGAATTATTTAGGATCTCGAACGGTATCCAATGGTAGTATTTGAAAAGAAGGGAGATGTTCGGTGCTCTGTTTGCAAAAGTTATGCAGCGTAAGTTTCGAAGTCATTTCATTGTGTTACAATAGGGGTTTTTTTTTTATTTTCAGAAGCATCAGTTTTGACAGGGAAGTTGGATCATACTTATGATATTGGTTTTTTAGAGAGAACTAAAGGATCAGAAAAAAACAGCATTGGTATTGCGGGGTTCTTGCCGGTTTTGAGAACTTTTGTATGCCATCGTTTCAAACGGGCGCAACGCAAAGTTGGGCAATAGGCATCTCGCTTTTGACTTGGCGCTCGCGTCGGCCGAAAGGCTTTCTCGGTCGCATCTAACGGACACAACTTAGCATCCGTTTGATGGACCAGTGTCTGCGGCTACACCGGTGCGAATCTGGATGAAGAAATGCCAGCTCTATCATTGGGTTCGAACTCGGCCTTTTTTGGATAGTGTGGCCGGCACAGCCATGGTGAAGGCAGAGTGTGCAGACAAATTTTCCCCTCTGGTCAACGATTCGCTTCGGATCTCACATCCGCTGCTTGTTGTAGAGACGTATGAGGCGTGAACCACATTTCACTGTGTAGTTTCCACAAGCTGCATCCCTCAGGCTGAGTATTCAAATGGACATCCCGAAGCCCTTCACTTCGCTCTTTATATACTGTGTGGGCTCAGATTTGAATGCTTTTGGCGTCGTGAAGATTGTCCGTAACTTGAGTGTGCAGTCGTTCCTGTTATACAGGCTTTTTTTTTCCTGGCACTTATCATACCCGGCCGGGGTAGTTTCAAATTTCTGTTCATATTCGCAAACATAAAGAGTAGGGCGAAAGGGAGCTGTTAACTTGATGGGAAAGTAGTACCTTGGACGTTACTGCTCACATTATCGACGACCTCTGATTAAGGACGTGTATTTTGAATGAAATGTGACAACATTTTCGCCAATTAATATTGCCTACTCTCTGGATGGTTAACAATTCCCTGTGTTGCCCGCAAGTCTTACCGTAACTTGTACGTCGGCCATGTCTTCATAATTGAAGTATCTTTCTTTGTATCATTCCCGATGAAGTATTATAGGAACGTGGGTACTCAAATTATGTTTCATGTCTTCAGGTTTGTTGTGGAAGAGTGTGAACGGTTACCATCGCCCTATATGATGTTTTGTGATGGATGCTTCCGAGAGTTCTTCTTCATGCACGGTCACAAAATCGGACGTTTCAAAGCTCATCCTTATATGCCAATCCAGCGGTTTACGGTCCTTCGACAATAGCTCGTTACCCTGTCTTTGCACGTCCTCGTAGCCCTCTTTGACCGTTTTCTATATGTGCTTGTTCTCCCCACGGCCTTTTATTATAAATTTCTTGAAATGTCCAAGATTTAATGAATATGCTCTGAACGGGTAATAATATTGGTTATAAGATCTCACTGACACTTTTGCCCATTGTTGATGGTTATTTTATGAAGCGATTAAATGACACTTCATCAGATTCTATTCACCTGGAAAACATTTTTATTTGAATCGTTTATAATCGCGAGACAGCCCATGGATAGGATTTCTTTGCTACCTTGTCATCTTTAGTATATTGCATTTGACATCATACATTTTTTAGCATGCATATTTGAATGTTGTTGTCCATTTGGATGTTTTAAAATTTTATAATGCTGGAAATTAGATACACTGTTCAGCCAGAAATGTTACATTAGTCACGAGTGTTCCCTCGTAATTAGTATAATTCACTTATTTTCTCCGAAAGTGGCTTTATTTCTCAACCTTGTTCATGTTTTAATGTACAGTTTGCTCGTTGAAATATTTCTAACCTATAAAATCATTGATATAGTTCTTGAAGTGGAGAAACAGTGCGGTTAGGATACCCTTATCTATTATGTGATTTTTTTTTCCTTAAATTGGCCAACTACTTTTATGTTGCCAAAGTGGTGTGAGACTGCGTTCAGACTTCGCGTCACGCCCGGTCGTAGTAGATGCGATTCAAATTGAATCGTTCCATTGAATCGCCTACTACGATCGGGGGCACTCCACCGCCAAACGGTGCACCGCCGCACGAAACATTTCAAACTACCATTGTGCGCTGCCCAATTTGAATCCTGCCTGTTGCAACGGTGCACCGCTTGGTGACGGAGCGCCTCCAGTCGTGGTCGCGCGATCGCGAAGTCTGAACGGCGTCTGAGCATGAGCTTGGGGCAGGGTTTATCTGTAAACAGCCTCTTCATAATGCTTCCTTGACACGTTTTGAATGGGGCTCCCAGTTGCACATGGTGGTCCTTTCTTCTCAAAATCGGCGCTTTCATTCCATATTTTTCTCGAGATTCTCTTCAAAAAAGTCACTCATTTCCTCTGCTAAAGGATTGAATAGGGTTGAATGTCCACCATTTTTTCAAAACTTTCAGGTTTTCTACCCCATATGTGGTCCTTGTGACAGGTACTTGTGCTGTTATTCGAGCGTGACGTTGCCTGAGCAGGTGAATATGTGTTGCATCATTTCTTTTACAAAAAAAAGCCTACTGGCGTTGTCACGAACTCTGTGTGGTGGGTGGATAACAGTGGTGTATGACGAATATTTCTAAAAATGAATTGGTATTGTATTCGTATGTGCTTGGGGAGACGACAAGATAATCGTAATTGGTCGCATTCGTGGCGCGCGGCGCATCTTGAAGCAGTGCGCTGCAAATTGTCAGCCTGCATCAGTTTGTCAATTGCAACCGCCTGCCTTTATATGAATTCAAGAGGAAGCAACATCTGTGATGGCGACAGGAAATTTTTCCGTCTCTTCTTTAATTTCAAACCGCCAGGCAGGACAGCTCGTCTTGACCGGGCGCGGCGTCATTCGCCACGCCCGTGTTACGATTGTCTTGTCACATACCGTTGTTGGGCGGTATCCTTTAGCCAGTGTTTCGGGGGTTGAAACTTTGGCCTTATAAAACCCATGATCCTCTGTAAGAAGTAGCAGTAAGAAAACATTTAACGATCGAGGTTCGAACATGAGAAAACCTAGGCATTGGCTGAGGTTTGAAGTTACTTTTGAAGCGTTCTGAAGTGACGGTGGCTACATTCCGCCGCCTTTTGGGTTTTGGGTAGAAATCGAGCCGGAGTGGTATCTAATCAAATGTTTGATGGATCATAGATAGAGAAAGGATCAAGATTTAAAAGCTTAATAGTCCTTGGATCATAAAAATGATGATGTCATCGCGAGCTGACCGCTCGCCGAAGATTGAGGGATTGAGGAGAAGAAGGAGAGGAAGATCCGTGCATTTGTGCTGCATGCTACTTCCGGTTTACGTGTTGGATAGCTTCCGTTCACAACGCCTAGCCTACGCTTAGCTACGTACTGCCTTTTTACTGCTACCGTTCCGTGCTTTTTGGTAGATCTGCCGTTATTCATTACGTTGAAATCATGGTCCCTGGATTTCCATTTGTTTCAGACAAGCTTGTAGCCATGGCGTCTCAGTCGCTACGGTTCTTGACCACTGTGCGTGCCATCTCCCATACGGCAACGACTCAAAATCGATATGATCCCCGCTTGTTTCGTGACCCTATAACAGATATCAAAGAGGTTTGTTCTTTCTTCGCAGGTAATTTCTTCTTTTGTGAGGGTTTTCGTGGTTTTTCTGAAAATTAGTCCATTTTTCAAGGGGAATTTGAGAAGTGCTTTTATAATGGCTCGTTGTTGTTGTTGTAGTCATTTTGTGTTGTTGTCATTTTGTAGTAGTATACGGGATCGAATTTTCAGATACAGCAACCATTAGACGAAAATGATGAACGGAATTTCTTATATATCAAAGCCATGAAAAGTGATGAGACTCCCGTATTTTACAGAGATCACACGGTAAGTTGATGGCCTAGCCTGTAGGTCACTAGATCTGTTGGCTGCCTGCCGTGAAATGAACAAATTAGGTTATTATACCTCGGACCTATTACATACACAATGTATTGAAAGTTATTTTCTATCTCTAGTGTTAGTTTTTTCGTTTGTTTTTTTCGTGTTAACTAGCACTTAGTGCTAGAAGATGCAGAAGAAATTTATGATGTCGAGAAAGATGCCGCTGGGTGTAAAATTGCCAGCCATTCCAGAGAACTCGTTACAATGAGGCTGGAAGACTGTTAGGAAGGAGTTTTGTTAGAGTGTTCTCAGGGTTTTTTTTTTGCTTCCTTCCTACAGAGGAGTCACTCATCGGCTGTTGGTTCATATTTGAACACCCACTACTCGTAATACTTTATAGGAATTGTCTTTAATAATCCTGTCGTGATCTGTTCCTTACCAATGTCAAATAGAGCTCTACATCGACGATGGAATAGAATACCAGCTTGTGGGTTCGCTCGAGAAGTAGCGAAAAATGCGAAAGAACGCCACAAGGACTTAACTCCATTGGAGGAGCCGGAATGCGAATAAACACATATTCAGATATACCCTCTCCCATCAGGGTCACTCACCTGTCCGAACTACTGACTGAACTTGGGAGAGATTCCTTCACTATGGAAAGAAGGTCTTCAGTTGTCTTTTTTCAGAAGATTACCCCGAAGATATGAGTTCCCGTCCGGAGGCTTGCACGACAGTATTCACCTCACAAGCAATGCTGGTGTCGTGACTCGGTCACGATATTACAATATAGTGGGCGGAGCAGCCACATAAAAAGGGGCGGAACACCCCCTCGGGGAAGTCGGTGTTGTGTCCTAGTCGTGGCCCGTACGCTTGGGAGAGGATCTTGTCGTTGAGTAGGTCTGGAGTAATAGGATCGTATGCTGATCTATTTGATGATACTTGGTCTTCATAATTACGCTTATCAATACGATAGATGCTATTGTGAATTGAGGAGAAGGAGTAAACAACAGCTGAAACTGCCCTCTTGACGCTTTCCTTCGTGTCGTTCAGAAATGCTTATGCTTTGTTTTTTGCCGAGCCGATCCTTGTGTTTCCTTTGGTGTTCGTTCTGCTGGCGTTATTCAATGCGCTCGGCCTTTCTTTCTCTCCGCTAAAGGAGAGACGCAAGATTGGAAGTTGGTTCAACTGTAATATTGAGAGCCTCATTATGCTTCCACCATTACTACGACAAGTTCTTTCAGGTTGATAAGCTTGTACGAGTCTGTATGAATAGTGGTAACAAAGAAACAATCAAGCATCACGTATATGGTGCATTAGAAATTATTAAGAGACGGCAATAAATTTACCAAAAAGATGGTTTGGGTGTAATTACAAAGCTTGTTGAAACTTAAAGGATGAAGATGAAAGGTAATAACAATTACAACGAACGGCGTTCACAGGTTTTATTGCTAATCGTGTCCATTTTTTTTTTGCCTCATCCTTTTCCTTTTTTTCTGTCAGAGCAAGATTGAACTGGATCCCTTTGAAATTGCTAGAAAAGCGATCAAAAATTGTCATCCACTCATGAAGTTGCAAGGGAGTAACCAGAGGTGAGAGAAAGTTCTGTTTATCGAGTATAAGTCATCATGGTATGAACTGCTCAACCATGGGATATCGAACGTGACAGGGATGTGTGTAAGGGCGCAAAAAACTGAAAAACAGATCTGACTTCAAGCGATAGTACTGAAAAAAAGAAACGGGCAGCTGGCGTAATGGGAAGATTACTAAAGATGCGATGCTATATATATGGTTAAGATTATTCTGGAAAGGCGAGCTTAGGGATATTGATCTCCTTGGATAATTGTGGTGTGATACTTATACTTACGGAGAGGCGACATTCAAAGGTTGGAAAGCGGCATTACGGGGTGCTCAGATTTCGCCACAAGGGAGTGCGTCAATTGGTTCGTATGCTGGCCCAGACTACAGACGTGCGTCAAGTCAAGTAGTCAAGAAATACTCTGAAAAACTGCGCACTTCGCTACGACGTGATAATGGCAAAACGCACTCGAGAATCCTCTCGTCTTCTCGTGTTTATCATTGCCATAGAAAACGGAAAGTGAAAGGGCACGAATAACGTCATTACTTCGACCTAGAATAGGTCCAGACCCATCCGAACGATGTCCTCAAGACTTGTTGGATGAGTAGAAATTTATCTGTATCTCTAACTATGACTCGTGAGATTGTGACTGATGTTTTATGATTTGTGTTCAGTTTGCGGCTACGCAGTGTTGGAGTATAATGAGTTCAAGACCTCAACTTGTACCTCTTTCAGGTGGTACTACATACCAAGTTCCATTTCCTATCGAGAAAGCTGAGGCAGAGTTCCGTGCCATGAAAATGATGAGGGACATATGCCGACAGAAAGCCGCTCATGGAGAAACACATTTGAAGTGAGTTAAGTCGTTGGTGACAGCTAACGTGTTGGAGGAAATGTCCTGCAATACCTCCAGCGTTCCGGAACGAAGTTTTACTTTCGCTTTTTCGGGGATTGCTCGAAGTTTTGCTGGGCTTTTCTCTCGTATCCATCATTTTGAAAACGGAAACATACCGTCTAAAATGCGGAGGGAGGCCTGAAAGGAATCCTCGTAAAAAAAAAATCGCTGCTACGCAGAGGCGATGAAAGATGTTGTAAGCCTATGGATGGAAGGAACTCTGGGGTGGTCTAACCAAACTCTTTGTGTAAAGAGGGTATACGGCGCTATAGCAAATCTACTAGAAGTTTAAAGATGCCCATCTCTGGGCAGACAGCATCCATACTGCTGCCATGAGAAACAAACCATTACATGCTGAAGGTCAGCAATCAACGTGAGACTGTTTAGGGATATCTTAGCAAACGAGTTACTGGCAGCAAGCCAGAACGAAGGGCTGACGATACAAGCCAAGCAGGAGCTGCACAAGACATGCGAAGCCAATAGAGCATACGCTCACTATAGATCATAGTAATAGCGTGTAATAGTAATTAGTCAGTTAAATTGTTTTCTGTTATCTGTTTCTTTGCATCTTGAATGAATTTTCCTAGAAACAGTTTTTCTTCTCTTGCAAGCGTCTTATCGCCATACTTCATCAAAATGAACTATTGTTGTAATATCTCTCATTCGGATTTCTACAGATGTCGTTAGTCGGTGTATCGACATCGACTTTAACAGAATTCGAGCAGCAGTATTCTCTTCAAACAGCTGAGGTAAGTCTTTTATTAGTTTTGCTTTATGTAAGGGAAGTACGCTTCATCCCTGCTACCGCAAACACTTGAGTTCATTGCATTGAATGTTGGTAAAGTTTTTGAGATGTTTTTGAGTTTACAAATTGTGGTCCCATCGCGATACTTCCGATTTCTCGACTGATTTGTAAAACTACCGCTTTCAATGGTTTTCACCTTTGTCGGGTAGAGGTAGTGTAGTGGGAAATGGCACGCTTACCACGCGCACAGTCCGAGGACCAGATCCTGGACCAACTTTCGCCCAGGCCCACCAAGCCTTCTACCCCCTGGGGACGGTAAATTGGTACCAGATTCGTCTGGGAGGATAAAACACTGACTTGTACATCGGCTGGCCCCGCAAGTCATTGTATAGGACCACATCGCATTCTGAATGGAAGTAGAATGCGTGCCGCAGCCTCACTAAGGGTTAATTAATGCCGAAGACTTTATCCTTTATTCAGTAGGAGAAGCGTTTTTATGACAGCTTAACAGCGCTATTGTATCTAATTGGAGACCAGCGCCTTCCTCTCCTCTGCGCACTGAGACGGGTAAACCGCGCACTCTGGTTCTATGGCTGTGCCTAGCAACAACAGATGGCGCAGTGCGGTGAGGGGAGGGGCATTTTGCACTTTCGCTGCTTCCCGTTGTCGTATTCATTGCTTTACGAGAGCTGACTGATATTGTTTTCAAGATTTGTCTAGTGCTCACTAAGAACTTTGACTGGTATTACTCCATAGCTTCACAAGATTCCACAAGTCTCTGCTTGATGGCGCGACGCGACAATGGAAAGCAGCGAAATGCGCTGCGCACCGTCACCTTTCGCCGAACTGTGCCGAGCATATCTTGGGGCCGCCCCCCCCCCCTCACAGCTGCAGTAGAGCTAGTTTTACTCTTTCATCAGGAAAAAATTCTTTACAAGAGTTTATCGATTGAACTTTTTATTAGGTGACATCAACTATAGCTCGCTTGCCGTCATTGCCAGTATCAGAACGACCAGCCAGTGTGCAAGCTGTACAACGTGTTCTGACAGATGTGGCTGAACTACTGGAGCAGATGGAACTCGCTGTGCGAGATTTAGCTGCTGGAAGGTATTCTATTTGATCGGATATAGCCGTACCATGTCGAATTACACCTTTTCTATGACCGAACTTCCCATGTTGTATCTCAGTATTTCAGTGCTGAACGAACTAAATACGAACTTCGCGTCAAGAGTTATCGTAACGACAAACGTCTTTTGGACAGCGAGCTTGAGAAAGCCATTAAGCGTCTACGCGAGGCTGCAGATCGAGATGAATTACTCGCTTATGATGAAGCAGTGGAGATGGACCAACAGGTGAGTGGAGTTCTATTTGACAACTGCTCTTTCAACGTATTTCATCTCACGAGTGTATTCTAGGAAGAGCAACTGATAGCGAATACTGAGCGATTAGAGAGATCATCGAGGAAAATTCAAAATGCATATCGCATGGCTGTTGAAACTGAACAGGTCAGCCTTTCATTCAATTTGTCTCTCTAGGACGGAGGGCTGTAGTGGCACCTGACCCCACCTTTGATTCCTTTGATGCTTACAGTACAAATACCAGAGCTCACCGTTTTGGCCAGCCAAGCCCGCCGTCCTTGTAGTCAGTTGATCGCCAACGGTTCTTTTTGGGAAGATAAAAATATTGACTTGCGCATCACCTCTTCCACCCCCCCCCCATGGACAAGTCACATTGAAAATGCGTTACTACGTTGATACTTGGAAGTTGAATATACGGCGCAACTCAAAAGAGTACTGATCAACCCCAGAGTTTGATTCACTCAGCTCACCATCGAAAGCGTATTTTCGCACTGAAGCCTTTCCCTTCCTTTTTCAAAATTGCTTACAACCAACCTCTCCCTATGCATTGTCCTTTTTTTCAACACAGCAGGGAGTGTATTTGGTTTCCACAAAATTTTTTGCTTTCACCCGTTTCAAGCCCATATATGTGCCCCCTACCTCGCTCAAGGTCCACCTTACATATAGGATAGCCTGTCTATTCTTACCAACTGATATCATTACTTGTCACCTGTCATCGAAGTTTCCTAAACCTCCGAAACTCGGCAGTGTGAAATCCCTACTGCCATGAGGAGCGACGTTGACAACAACACTCCTTATCAGTCCCTATCGGTTGGTACCCGTTTCCGTCACTCACCAATATTGTCAACGTGTTATGCATTTGTCGATTCTTTTCTAAGAAAGCGTTGTGCGGACACATACATACATACATACATACATACATACATACATACATACATACATACATACTTACACAGATGCATACTATCTTTGTGTGGCGGCACACAAAGATAGTGATTTGTGAAGAAGAATGATCCATTTCATTACGTATAAGGCATTTAGATTGGAACAGAAGTGTTGGGAAACTTGTCTCAACAAAGGGAAACAATAAGTCGAGCTCGAGAAAGAATGCGTGAAGCTGACGTAGAATTGGGAAGGAGCAATCGTTTGCTGAACACCATGATACGGAGGTACGAATTTTCTTGCCCCTCATTATGATCCTTATTGAGGATTCTTTGTCTATTATTTATTTATTGAGCTATTGTGTCTAATAATAACCCCATGGAGCACTAGAAAAGTGTCCACAGAATAACATTAGAAATGACACAAGGCGAAGAAATGTAAGGTAAAAATGATGCCATCACTGCTCGTAGAGCCTACATTGGCACCTAACCGCGTAAAGTAGGTGATTTTGAGCAACCATTCTACAATCCGCAGATTAACTTGCTGAAATCTCACCGGACTTGTCACGATCCCGAAAAATATTTATAACTGATATCATATCAATCAGTCGGGGTGGTGTCAGGAGGGGTGGATTCAACCCGCTTCCGTGGCATTGTCTAATAATAATGATCGTATAATGATGATTAAGGAGGAAATAACCAGTGGTAGAAAAACTGTGGATGGGCTCATTCCATGTTTCTTGGCATCCCTCCCCACCACACAAACTGTTTCCGATGATTTGGTGTGCATCAGATCGTCAGCGTGCCAACGCGTAATGGTAATGTTGCGGCTCAAGCGCCAACACATGCAGAGTCTGGCCGCTTCAACCTCTTCAATACCACATAACGCTTTCTATTGTCAGTTCGAGTAGTACTGAGTCTTCTTTATTTCGTCGGCTATGTAAGGGAGTTTCAAGGGTGTCACTGTGCAGAAAGGGATGTTGTAGTGCAGAGCTCGTTTTTTCTTGCAAATGTTCATACCACCACTCAAGAGCTCCTTCCCTCCTAGTCTTGCACAGAAATATAATCTCCATTACGACAACCAACCAGTTTTGCGCGAGGATTGCTTAGGATGCTACTCTTTTGCCTCACTTGCGGATCATTCACACTCCATATCGCTGAGAGGCAGTAAGCGTGGCTGTGTATGTTATTTGAGCATGGGCAGCTCCTGCGTTTTTGGTCAGATATTTTCGTTTTGGGACAATGCCAAAAATGTACTTGTCCAACCAAAACAGGATACCAGTTGCCTAAATTTTAGGTATTCCACGAGTAACCAGTCCTAAGTAATACTAAAATGAAGTACACGGCCACTGCTATCGCTTCTCAAGGACATGGAGTGTCATTTTGTGCATTAGATAGCTTGAGGTATATACCAACTGGAAATCAAAAGTTCACTCATTTCTACGGAATAGTTTGTATTCCAGCACATTCCCACTGACAAGGTTGTATTTCAGAGTCATACAGAATCGTCTGCTGCTGCTGATTGTTGCAGTGCTCTTGATGTTCTCTCTTTTATTCTTGGTGTACAAATCATTATGATTTCATGCTTTTCCATGGAATTTTAACGAATAACGGTATCGATGTGTCGGTGCTCCCACTTACATTCATTTTCGAGGGAATGATTGGGGAAATCTGGAGGCATTCATATGTTGTGATTTTATCGATATCATAGTCTCCTACTATAAGTATGGTTCTTATTTACATTTAAGCTTGCTCCTTTGCGATATTATTGATGTCTAACTTTGTCAATTACAAGACGCGCTAAGAATATAAATACGCTGTGCAATGCTCCTATTTTAGGCAAGTGATACCTATTGACATAGCTGATGTTTACCTTTCCGATATTTTCGCAACCCCGGGTTTTCACTGCACTGTAGTCATTGTTTGAGATGTATTTAATGATTATGGTCATTGATTGGTGTCACGAAAACTTATTCTTAGACCGAAGAGAACTATGATGAAACATTTCTCTACTTCATATATTCTTTTGTAAATACGTCGTTGTGAATATTGTAGCGATTTTTAAGATAAATCTTGCAACCATTAGATCTTTGTTGTGGCCTAGCTATCGCAAAACGACGACGTATATCGCTTGTGGAATCCTACAAAGGCTTATATGTTATCTCCGTTCGGAGGTAGGCTATTTTCAGATGTACAATTATCGAAAGCCCCCTCCAGAATTACCACAAACCGAGTTTGTTGTGATACAGTATCCTGGAGTTATCAAGAACCTCGATCGTGCTCTCGACACTTTGGGTGGTTTGGCAAAAATTTCTCAGGTACGATTTAATGCTCCAAAATAACTTTACTCCTCATACAGGGTAAAAATAAACTTCTAATGGGAGCTCTCGCTCAAATAGTCAGTTTTAAGTTTTTTTTTTCTGGTAGGCATTGGTCACTTACGGATTGCGATACTGCTTCTTTTTAACATGGTGTAGGATGCTTTTTTCGTGGAAAATAGCGTTTGGTGTTACTGAAATGCTTTCTCTTCCTGGACAAACACATGATAACAATCGCCCAAAACGACAATATCCCACCAAAACGCAGCCGCCGCCTGTTCCAGTGAAGCACGCGGTCACGCCCTCCACATCTCCGGGATAAAGAGTGAAAACTGTTACAGATAATGTCAAGTAATCTGCATTCGAAAACTCGAGACCAGTTTTCGCTTCCATAGTGGTGAATATCTCTATTTCTCTTCTGCCTTCCAAAAAAAAGCAAAGTTCAGTTCGTAACTGCCTTGCGAACACCTTACGTCCTTGTAGTCTGTTATCGGAATTGAAAGAGAATATAATGGATTGAAGCAGTTTTACCTCAAACAGTGGGCAGTAAACTGCCATTTTTCCGGAGCCGATGTTGCAATCCCACTATTTGTTTTTTTTCAGAATCACTTTGCTAGTCAAGCACTAGAGCTTCGTCACACACCAGAGAATCCCTACACAAGTGCCTCAGTCTCCGAAAAGAAACTTGATTCCACGGTAAACAACCATCACATGCGTTGGTGACCGTTCTGATCACCTTCATTTGAGGTTACTTCTGGTACGCTACGCTTGGTAATGCAGTTCCGACGAAGAAAGAAGAAGCCTGACGTCATAGAAACGACTTGTTTAGGCTTGGTGAGTATCGATCTGGAGTTACGCTATTGATGTAGGGAATCGAGTAGTAGCAAACTTAGATTCTTAACCATAAATGCATTCATCTGAGGTATCTGCTTTTAAAGGTGAAATTTTGAAGGGACACCTTATATCTCAGGGATGGAGAGGCCGTAGCTGCGTACTTCATCTAAACGTGGCAGCGAGCTGCGCTTCTGGTGAAATGTTGCCGTTCTTGCACAATACTTACTATGCCTTTATCTGGCAGAAGACTGATGAGTTTCTCAAAATGGAAATATCCCGCACCCTGCGCAATGTCTAGATGGAGTACGCAGCTACGGAGTCCTCTATCTCCGGGATATAGTGTTAAGTGGATAGGTATCACTGGCTGAAAGTACCGAAATCTTTTCAAGTCATTTTCCGGTCCACTGGTTAACAAACTTTGTGACCATTCAATAAATAACAGCTGTTTTACAGGTGAACGTCTTATATACCTTTGAGACAATGTGCGACTTCCAATATCTTCCGTTGAAAAAGCGACAGGAAGGTGAAGGATTTGACGATCTCATCCCTCGTCTTATACCAAGAGATCTTCCAAGTGCCCTCTGCTGGTATTTTTCCATTTTTTTTTCGATGGACAGTAACATTATCAGCTCTTTATGATCTTTGGTGCCCGCCTTTTCCAGCATTATTTGTTCCAGTCCCCTGTCTCTCGTTTTTTTTTTCTTCCGCATTCAGGATTTTCTGAGTGATATTCTAATCCCTTTCTCCTCACCAGTTCCGAATGACTTCCACGGTTCCTCACTTCTGGGTACTGATATCATTAATCGCTGCTATTTTTCTAGCATCGAGAGTGCTCGACTGTTTCCATTCCATCATTTCATTCCTAAAATGATATCCCCAAAGCATATTGAAAAAGTGTCCTCAATATTGCTTTTGTATTTTTCAAGGTGGGACCGTCCAGACTCGTATCCTGGCTACACCCCTTTGTTCCTGCCGCCCTACCAATTCAGTCGCTACAACACTCCATCCACGAAGATGCTATGCCGTGAATCGGACTTCACGCTAGAAAAGATCCGGAAAAGAACAGGACACGGGCAAAGTAAGCATTGATGTTTTGTCCGATTGAAATAACTAGTGGAACTCTGTGACATCTGAATTTTCCCCTTTTTTTCTTTTCAGAATTCTATCACAGAATAAAATAGAGCCTTATCCGCTGCGGATAAAGGGCCGTGTCAGGTGGGATGGGATTGGCGTGGTACCACCTGTTGTTGAAACGAACAACATTGTATCATATTGTTCGTATCAGTCGTTTCGCCGAATGTTGTCGGTTACCCGTTTCAACAGCCGATGGAGAACGGGTTTGGCGCCGCGCCAAGTACCTCTCGCCTTACCACGCCCCTTAATCCGTAGCTAAGCACGACTGTAAGTGAGAATTGACTCAACATCTTCACTCCTCATTCTGTTTTTCTATTAGTAAACTAATCGGGTTCAAAACCATGGCAAGCTCTATAAAAGTGTTTGTAAGAGCTATATGTTCATTTTATTGAAGATCTACGACTTGAACGAAAGGCGCTATCAGTGACCGTGCAAGCTAACGATCCGTTCCCGGTTGCTCCGACTGAGGAAGCTGTTCTTGATGCAGATTTTAGGTACGATTTTTTATAACGTTTGAAAAATATTTTACACAGTGTGTTTTGATTCTAATTGTAACTGGAGCTAGAACTTATGCCCAGCGCTTTCCGAAAAGTCTTGGTGGAGCAAGCTTTTTCCAAAAAAACACCTTTTCTGGGAAGTTGAGGAAAAATCTTGAAGTACTAAGTAGAATTCCGATTATGTAACGTTTTAGGTGTAAAAATGAGGAGCCGCACAGAATGTTGGCTGCACTATTTCGAGAGCGCCCGATGTGGACTAGAAATGCCATCGCTTACAAAACAGGTCTAGACGAGAACCTGCTCAAGTTCGTTCTGTTTTTAACATCAAGAAGCATCTGAGAACAGAACCGTACCGCTTCAAGCCTTTACCCAAAATTTGGCTCCCTTGCTTACCCTTGTAGTGCAATTTCATTGTAATACGGAGCTATTTTTAATAATTCATAATTCCTTTCCAATCCTCATGGCCAGTTGATTTCCGAAGCCTCTGAGCTATTGGCGCGGTGAGAGATTGTAACGGGAACTCAATCCCGTGCTGACGATTACTACATTGAGCACTGAGGGTATGGGTCTAAGTGGCAGTACTGCCTACTAGTATTCAACCCAGCCAAGCGCGTTCAGTCTTCTGGTCGTGGTTGGCACCGCAGTCAGAAAAAGCATGGTTCCAGTTTCTCTCCATTTCGATGTATCCCAGGAAATTTCTGAAGCTGCAAACATCTGGATGTATCTTTTAGGACCTTATTACAAAAGTATGCATTCTACATCCAGTCGGGACCTTGGGGTCGGCTTTGGTGCAAGTTTGGTTACGATCCTCGTACTGATCCGGAGTCAATGCTATATCAAACCCTGATGGTTTCTTTCAGGTAAATTTGCAATTTTTTATGTATCTATCAGTTAGCTGCAACCTTACGCGCTTTCTGAACGTGGCATCTGAGGCACGAACAAAGCGTTAAGGTCAGCGGCACTGCAACTTTTCTCTGAATGTTACTACCCCACTGATTAGGTTGTCCGGAAAGTTCTCAGCGTTCTGAGTGCTTCACTTTGAACGATGATAACTTTGAATGACAAGTTATTTCTGTTAGCGAATTCGCTCTTACTTATTCTACTGACACATAGCGTGAGCTAGGCTCCGCACGGTGGAACCTCGGTGAGTAGTGCGCAGTTATTACCGGGTTCTTCGGGGGCGTTCGGGACACGACGTCGGAAACGCTAGAGTGGGGAAGGCGCTTGATCGGGTAGGTGACAAATTAAAAGCTTCGAGCCATTTTCAGGCCTCTGAAGAAGACGAGAAGGTCGAAACGTAGGCCAATAAAAGGTGTCATCTAAAAACCTCGTTTGGCAGAAATAACTAAACATTCGACATCATGCCGAGGTTACAAGAAGGGACAACTTGGAGATTAACTTTCTTAATACTCATCGGATTTAATCGAAATAAGCACCGTTCGAATCAGCACACTTTTGCCAATGTGACAGCAGTCGAGAAATCCCATCAAAGAAAAACTGGGTGGTCGAGAATCACGAAATCCACGAAGGCTTTTTTGCCTGATTGATGAAGTATTTTCCAGCAAGGAAGTTCTGAAAATGTTAAAGGTGATAGTCGGTTGGTGAAAGGTCTGGAGAATATGGCGGGTGAGGTAGAACTTCAACCCCAATTCGTTCAATTTATGGATAGTGATTTGTGAAACGTGTGGGCGGGCGTTGTCATGCAAAAGAATCGGACCCTTTCTGTTGACAAGTGCTGGCTGCAGCTGACGCAATTTTCGTCGATTTCTTCACAGTAGGACTCTGCTGTGATGGTTTGGCCTGGTGACAAAAAGTTATAGTGGATCACACCAGCCGATGACCACCACACTGTGACCATAATCTTTTTTTCGTGAGGATTCGGCTTTGGAAATTGCCTCGGTGGTTCGTCGGCATCCAACCACTGTCCGGAACGTCTCCTGTTATCATACATGATCCACTTTTCATCACAGGTGACAATTCGGTCGGGTCGTTTCTGTTGCGCAAAAGCAGTGAAGAAGAAACCTCGAGACGTGCCAATTTCTGCCGGTCACTCAAATTGTGGGGCACCCACTTGTCGAGTTTTTTCACCTTCCCAATGCGTTTCAGACCATCCGCAACAGTGGATTTGCCAACGCCTAGCTTTTCTGCAATCTCTCGAACTGTTTGGGATGGGTCAGCCTCCACAAACGCCTTCAAATCCTCGTCAGGTATTGCTTTAGGTCGACCGCTACGAGGTTCATCTTCAAGGCTGAAATCTCCAGAACGAAATTTGTCGAACCATTGTCGCACGGTGCTTTCTCCAACACTATTGGGCCCCACACCTGGTTAATTTGTCGAGCTGTCTCGACTGCGGATTGACCCAATTTGTAGTTGAAGAAAAATATCGTCCGAAGTTGCTCTTTTGACATGCTTCAAAAAGTCTTGGGAAAAGGGGTTCATCAAGCAATGGTGAAACGGCAATTATACCGATGGAAGAAATTCTCTTCAGGATGTACTACTGAGACGCAAGGGAGAATGAGTTTTTAATCAGCAATGAATGTACAAAAAATAGTAACACAAAACGCTGAGAACTTTCCGGACAACCTAATAGTTATTCACCTGATACTCTTCTTAATCCCTTAGTTTTCCATTCGTCTTGTTTCGATGGCACTCTTATTTTTCCTATTGGCTCTCCACATTCAGCTCTCCAACGTCTCTGTGGCGGTCTCGTTCATACTATTGCATACTGTTCCATTTTTTTCATACCAAATGATAGATCCTGATATAACAACATAGGCAGTTGCATGGGATTGATCTCTCTCTCTCTTCTCTCTCTCTCCCTTACCCTCCCCCTCTCTCTCCCCCCGCCCCCCCCACCTCGTTCTCCCTCTTTCTCTCTCTCTATTCTCCTTTTCTCTCTCTCTCTCCCCTCTCTCCCTCACCCCCCTCTCTCTCCCTCTTTCTCTCTCTCTATCTCCCTCTTTCTCTCTCTCCCTCTCTCTCTCTGAGACGCACCTGTCTTTTGACTTCATCTGTAATCAACAGGTATTTGGATGCATATTAAGAAAATTCTGTAAAAGATTAATGGGGTCAACCGATTTGTAATACAATATTTCATGGTCAAAGGCTAGTGTGATGGCATTCAACGAAATCCGGTAGTATGAAAGGGCTGGTTGACCATCCCTGTAGCTGGCAAAGGTTTCGATGGTATGGGTGTGATAGCAGTAAGACTCTACCTCAACCCGATTTTCCGAACATATGCAGCAAAAATAAATGACGAAGGACTTTAGGCACTAGTTACTTAGTGCTGCTTTTTTTTTGAAGTCAATGTTTCAACTCCCCGAAAATCGTGCCATAGGGTAGATTTGGCAAGAAGTTTTCTCTATTCTGAATGCTCGAGTGCTAAGACATTTGCGCTGCCAGATCTGCTAGAAACTTGTATCTAATGTACTTTGATCACTCGGAACATCACATAATTTAGCGCAAAAACCCCTAGCACCCACACCCGACGCCAGGCTCCAAAGCATCCTATGTTTGGACCCCTCAAACCACTAGGAGACCACTGAAGACCTCGTTGAAATCTTGTTCTCAAGATGTCGATTTGCTTACGACGAATATCTCGATCAAGCTGAGAATTCCCAAGTTAGTTTCAATCCACTCGACAACAAGGGTCAGGGTTATTTTTCGCACAATCCTTACTATATTCGTCCTCACTCAGACTACCACGGTGGAGGTTTTTAGCGAATTTGATTGCCACAAATGTTTTTCATTGTCGCTTTGGCA